TTGCCCTTCTTTGGAATTGGAACGTAAACTGACCTTTTCCAATCCCATGGCCACTGTTGAGCCATAAATCCATAACTGAACCTTGACAACCTTGAATAATATTGTCACCTTTCCATTCACTGCGCAAATACATGGGCAGAAAATGAAATATCATTGATCCAAGAGTTGCACTGTCTTTCCAACATCAAGGAGTATTCTTTTTTGTTGTACTTCATGTTTGGTAAAACTTCATATACTTCATATAGTTCTTCTGATGAATTCCATTTTTGGATATAATTCAAAAACATGTTAAACATTATAGATCTCTGTAACATCATATTAACAAATGTGTAGATTTTAAACCAAAACTGGGCTATGATAGGATAGACCTGTATCATGTGAGCAAGTATACCTTCACCCATTTTACACTTCCAGCATAATCAGGCTGATGACAAGTTCTATTTAAACAGTCTCTGACTATTCAGTAAGCATGAAAGAGGGCTTTTTTGTTGAAATAATCTTGTAAGATCATAAGGAGCATACTTTACACTGAAATGGTCACCCAATCAATTTACAAAAATACCTAACCTGACAATGTTCAGCCAAACAGTACCTGAGAGAAGAAGGTTAGAGGAGTACTAAGTGTATCTCTGGGGCCACCACAGATGAGGCCCACATGCATTTCTCATAGGAATAGAGCCCTCTGCTTCCCTTTTCCTATCTGAACATATGGGCCAGGCAGATTCCAACTGAGGGAGACAGTCCTTAAGGGAAATATCAGAGAGATTGCATAATATCTTTCTAATTCTGTTTGGTTCCTCAAATGCCATTAAAAAAATAGAAGTCAAGATGTATATGTAGTGATAGTGTTGAAAATCAGGAAAGTTAAAATCCCCATCATATGATAGTAGTAATTTACACAAAGAAAATCTGAAATGTTGCCCTTTTCATATAATTTTTTAGTAGTTTATCAATTTGCTTTAAATACGTGAAAAGCAATAACAAGGGAAAATATATCAGTCCTGAAGTAATGCTCATTTTACAATAAAATATCAAAGTATAAAATACGTTTTATATAACATTTGTTCTGGAATTTTGCTATCAGGTTTTGCTATCAAACATGCCAATTAGCCATTTAATCTTGCTTAAAATTAATTCAACCCTTTGTAGCGTCAGATGAGATAAAGACCCATCAGGCATCATGGGAGGTTGCACAGGTAGATTGTTTCCTAGGCCCATTCTGCAATCTCAGAAGTAAGTTATATCTTGCACATCATACTGTGGGATATCTAATTTATTCAAAATATAATCAATGTTTATGTGAATGGGCAAGATATTTTGTTCAATTACCACTATTTAGTTTGTTTCCTATGTTCCATTCTAAAAAATGAAATAACTCCTAAAAAAACGATTAGGGAAATATTTTAATAGGATAATGGAAGTAATGCATACAAAGGGACCATACTTCAGAAAACACTATGAATATAGGTGATTATGCATTTTTTCTGTAGATTTTTTAAAAAATCAGTTTTTAAAAATGCTGGATCAGAATTCTGTCCTAAAATAACTTAGATAAATAATGGAGAGGATGCATATTAATTAATATTTCCCTAATCCCCAATATATTATTATGTTCTTTACATAGAACATAAAGTGCATATAAACTAGACAGATAACTAGCATTTTTTCTTAACTCAGAGAATCTAATTTTTGGACAAAGCAAAAACATAACTGTCACCACAAATACAGATTCCTAGTGCCGTTCAATGATCTCTTTCTGATATGGACAGGGATCTGTTAAGCAAGTAAATGTAGTGGGTCTTTATCACTTTTTGAAAATTAATCTTCTCATAGTGCTAAAATGCTTTTTCTGACTATAACATTTTAGAAACATTAAAATATTGGCTGACAAAATGCTTCTTAAAAGAAAGAGTAATGCTTTAATCCTACAGTCCTGTAATGCAAGAATATACTGCTGTCATACCAAAATAATTTTTTATGGCTTCTTCTCTTGTTATACCAGTAATGTTGGATGTAAGAACTATGCAGGCATTTTCCATAATATGAATTTTTTCAAAGTAAAAGTTTTGTTTTTCTATGCTGCCCTGAAAACATTTAGTTTTTAAATAGATAGGACTTATTTTTGTAGGGATAAAATAATCTCTATATCTAAATATTATCAGAGCAATGTGAGAAGCTGCAATTGATAAAGCTGTTTCCACACTGCTTCAGGATATGAAATGGCCTTAAAATAGCATTGGTTTCAAACCGTACCTCCCTGGAGACCTTGTATTTTTGATTTTAAAATTCTGGACTTTTTTTTCTCTGCCAGAGAAAACTTTTTGTAGCTTAATGGAGAGAGAAATAGATCTGCTGCTCTTATTAATATTTAACTTTGACTTTTCCTCCTTCTTTGAACAACCCATATTTCTGCAGCTTTGTGTTTAATGACATGTGACAAGGTATCTCTGCAAAAGTGTATTATTATTACTGTTTCATTGACAATGGAAGAGATACCCCCAAAGCATAGCATGATTTATTATCTGACTTTTGTAGTCATGCATTAATATATTTTAGTATCTGTGAAGTTATGGTATCTTTCTTTTATCCTATTCTAATTCTACGTTAGGCAGATTAATCAATATAATCCAACTGTATTTTAAAGTATAGTGGTGGGCTGATTGTGAATCTAATTTGTTGCAATACCCTGAACAATCATGAAGAATCTGAACCAAGCTTCATATAATTGAAAGATGATCTCAAAAAGTAGCGTATTCCATTAATATTTTCTTCTGTAATAAATTAACAGATTCGGAATCATAGTTTAAGAAATAAATACTCATTACCCTCCAGGCTTTCCGTACAGTATCAGTCAGCATGGTGAATACTGAGAGATACTGGGAGGTGTTGTTCACCCTATCTGGAGGGTGTGACAGTTTTGCTGTAACAATAGAGGAAAGTAAGTGTTAAATAAGAACATTAAAATAGTTGCTTGGCTGAATCAGCCAGAAGATCCAGTTAATCCAGTGTTCTGTATTCCATAGGGGCCAATCAAATGCATTTGGGAAACTCTCAGGCATAGAGTGGGAGCAGCACCTCTCTTCTACTGTTGCTTCCCAGGATCCACTATTTTATATACGCTACTCGTAATTCAGGAGATAATATAGCACCATTTAGACTAGTAGCCATAGCTATCCCTATCCTCTGTGATTTCTCTAGTCCCCTTTCTTAAACTATCTAAGTGGATGCCCATCACATCTGATAGCAGCTAATTTCATCATTTATACATTGTGAAAAAAAAGGCCTGTTAGCCTTGAATTGCTCAGCATTACACATTGGCCCTAAGGCCAGTGACAGGGAGCAAAAGTAATTTCTGTCCAGGAATTTGATATTTTGCATGTTTCATAGCATGCCTGACCTGCCTCACCTGATTTCACTAAAAAGTGTCAACTGCTGTAGTCTTTCCTCCTAAAGATTGGCTTTAGTTGCCTCATTACAGTATTTTAATTAATCTTTTCTTCACTTTGTCTAGCTTATCAGTAACCTCTTTCTGGTATGCAATATTACAAAGTATGATTACACTGTCAGTTCATGTTATTACTATGGCTGTTTTATTTTCCATTCATTTCTTAATAATTTCTGGTATAAGAAATTCCCTTTTTTAAGTCGCCCAATGTGGGATTGAAACTTCCATTGAACTGTCCATCATCACTTCAAGATTCCTTTCCATTCAGTCATTCCCAACTTCAATATATGAGAATATTATTTTGTTCATTTGGGATTTTGCAGCTGCTTTGCGCTTCCAGAACTCTTCCAGCTTCTGCAGTTGAGCTGGAAAATTGGTGCCATGGATATAGGATATATGCTTGTAACTGCATCTGCTGATGTAGGCAGTACCTTATGGAAAATATCACAAAATTCTTTGTTGTTTTGCTGTAACAAAGTAATGCCAGTATTCCTCTGGAAAATAAGGTCCTGTACTACAAATACTGATATTGTATATATAATCCCCAAGTGATATTTGCACAATAGTATTATGTATGTGTCATTTATTCTTATTCTCACTTTTATCTAGTGTCATTCATGAAAAGCTATTAAATAGATAGATATTTTATTAAGCAGCCAGTTGACACTATAGATCACTATACTCCCTATCTCATATACCATATTGTTTGCTTTAAAGGTAGTTGGTTTCCTCATCATTTTACCCTTTCCTCCTTGTATTTACTGATGCTTCTGTTGATCAAAAGATAGTGGTAAAGCAGCAGAGAATACAAGATACACACTCACAGAGAGGTATCCTAGCAACTCACGGTGCTACAGATATGCTGTGTCCCCAAGTGGAAAATGGAAAGAGAATAGAAAGCATTCTGGTGAGCTTTGCTTCTGTTCCTGCAAAATCCGGGTTTTGAGTGATCAGTTTTGAGCTAAGGACACAAAGAAAAAGGGGTTGCGTGTGTTTGCGATTGGGTGTGCGTGAGACATAGATTTATTTTGCTTTCAAGGGGGCTTGTGAAAATAGGATTTTCATTAAATTCTCTTGTCAAAATTATGCTGGGCTGGGGTTGTCTTGGTTAACTGTTTTCTGTTTCACATTCATTTATGTTATCTGACTTGTATAAAAGCTGAAATTTTTGCAAAGCCAAGTTTTGGAGTTCTTCATTTCTTGCTTTGGCAGTTGTCTGAGTCATTTGAAGTGGACAGCACAAGTTTAAGACTATGTTTCCAGACCTCCCATCAAGAGAACTCATTTTGATATTCTTTTGGAACTTTGTATAAGTTATCTGCATGTATTGCTTCAGGCTGGCTAGTGAGAATCTAGAAGGTTAAACCTTCTAAATCAGCATTCCTGCACCAATGAAACAGCTAGCCAGAGGAGAAAACAGCAGGTGTTCCAGTAAGAGATTTAATTAATAGTCAATTATCCTTTTCGTCTAACAGCCAGATGACTTTGGAGGACAAATTTGGTGCCATTGGTGCACTGAGGCCTGCTGATTGCCTCAGCCGGAGCATACACATTGCTCTCTGTATGCATACAGTACTGATCTTTTCTGGCCAGCCTCCTTTTTATCCTGTTGATCTGTAGCCTGCTTTTTATTTTCCTAGACTCAGCTTACTTTTATACTCTTAGTGCCTGGCACTGGTTCCAAACACTTCCATGCTTCTACGTAAGCAGCTATCATTGTCCCATTACTTTACTGTGTACATAGATGGTACATGTACAGCAGAGCTAAGATTTCTATTTGCTGAAGTATGACCTACTGCTAATTTTTTCCTATCTTCATGTTGTTGATTGCTCCCCGTACTTTCACAATATGTACATTTTTGTGGCCTCATTATCCCCTACTCCCACTGCCTATCCTGTAATTAGAATAAATTAGATTTTAGGTTTGGTGGTTTATATTATAATGGGAGAAGCACTACTCCCACCCAAATACTATGGGTTTTTGTAGGAGATGCAACCAGAATATCAAATTCATAGCTGATGGAAAGCACCTGTTTTTTAAAAATACTTTTCTTAGTTACAATCATAGACATTTGTCCCAAGTCTCTCTAGTAGTACCAATTATAAAGGACCCCCAAGAATCCCATTCCATCTCCTTTTGAGATGGGTACTTAGCTACTGTTTTTAGCAGTGGGATGTGTGATTTTTTTCCCTATAGTAATAGGAATCAGAAGTTCCTTTGTGAATTGAATTATATTTCCCACACTTTAGCCTCATGATTAGAACACTGCAGCCTTGGTCAGTATACAATAGCCCCTGCTTCTGTTAGTCCCTGTGTGTCCTGATACAGTACTTTTTCACCCGAAATATTACTGCCTTTTTTTGTTATTTATTTTTATTGCCCTACAGGTGCCTACAAAGAAGCTGAAGAAATATGAGAGAGAATATCAAATGATGCGGGAGAATCAGCTACAGCAGGAAGACCCATTGGATCGATACAAGGTAATGGGTTGCCATGTGCTCAGATACTTTCCATTTGAACAGAAAGAGATTGTCTTTATAAGCTGAAAGGAAAGCTGTGGACAATGTTTTCACACTGCCTGTTGTGGCACATTTAAAAAGACTTATTTCAGGTGGTTTATCATTATATTTTATATTTTACTTGAAACCATTAAATTCACTTTATTTAAGAACCACATATAATGTTTTTATTTTTTCAGTTTATATGTTTGTAGGTTATACTTCTGGGAAACTGCATGGGATGCTGAGAAAGAATGAGGGATTCTCTACTACTGACATACAAAGGAGGCAAAGAATTATGTGTTAGACAAAGCTATGTGTGGTTCACTACCATAGACACATTTTGGAAGGCGAATGCTTCCATAATTGACTGCACTGAATGTATGACTTTTTCCTCTGTGATCAAATACTCTTGATGATTTAGCAATATTTATAACACTCTTAATCACATAGACTGAGACACAGAGTTGGTGAAATAATTCATTTTATTGAACCACATTTCAGTCATGTTGGTTCCAAGCAAGGATAAAATGAAATTCCTTAGTAAGGTGGAATTCTGGTTTTATCCATTTTGTTGTATTTTTGCTCTGAACACCCATAACTAATTGGGTGTAACAAAACAGCAGCCTGAAGTAGGAGTTGCATTGTATTTCCATCGCAAAGTTGCTAACCTGTTCTTCCACTCAATTGGCATATGTAATATACCTATGGTGCTTTTAGCCTACCTTACAGGGATGTTGTAAGGATTATTGAGGTAATGTATGTGAACTACTGAGTTGTTGAAATGGGCTTCATCAGTATTAAGTATTAGGTCTGAACAATTGCACTGTGTAAAACTACTAATGGGTCAAATTAAAGGTACTTTCATGTTTCTTGAATTTTTGTAAGTACTGTACACCTAATACCTATTTGCCTAGATCGTTAGATATTTTTTAAAAATCCCCAAATTTATACAAATTCTTATTTTCTAGAAAAGATAAACCAAATTTTGAATGATCTGAAAAACAGAATATTTTTTTAAATTATTATTACTGCATTGATCTAAAGCAAAGATTGAATTCTAGGTCAAAATAATGTTTACATGATGTTCTTGTTAAGTAAATAATGTCACATTACCATATAGTGTTAAGGCTGATCTGCATTCACATATTACTTAAAGGTTTTACTCCTCAATTTGAACACTGATTTATTCAGTCCTTGCTACTGTTGGATTCTGTGAGAGATTCTATAGAAAATAGAAAGGAAAGGAGAGATGGGTTAGAAAAGGGGGATGCTAAAATTGTGACTTTGAATATGCAGGGTTTAATATGTATGGTTACATAGAATGATTCAATATTTAAAGCCAATGCATTCAAATATGACAATGTTGCAGGTAATTCTTAAACCAGATGGAAAGGATTTTCTAGTAAAATGCTAGATTTTGGACTATAATTGATGGTAAGAGGCTCTTCCAAGTCTAGAGGGGTTAACTATTCTTGATAGCTCTACATTCTTTGAAATTAAGTATGTTCTTAGTGATAAAAAGGGTAGAAGTACCTTTGTTAAAGGATTTTTGAAGGGGGGTTATAACTACTTTAGTTTCACTTTATGTACCAAATAAGTTGGAATTCACTTTTTTACAACAACCTTTGGTAAAACGTAAATATTGGCAAAAGGCAAAATGCAGAGATGGAATTCTAGACTGGTGCAAGGTACAGATTATAACAAAAGGCATAAGATTATAACAAAAGGCATAAATTTGATAAGCTAAATAGCAAGTTTAAGAAACTGTTATTTGAGTTTAAACAATTGGTAATGATTATAGTTTCACATATTATTTACAAGTCCATAAAGCGGAGTCCTGGATAGGTTATATACTTGTTTCAGCAGGTACAGAATGTTTCTTTGGCAACTATAGATAGTACAGATAATTCACTATTTAAATGTGTGTTACAATGGGATGGTACTTCCCCAAACATTCCACAGTGGAAATTTAATTTTGCCTTATAAGCAAATTTGTCCACTTTCCAGTCAATAAAGTAACACTGCAAAACTATCTTTTTATTTTATTTTACTGATTGGGGGAGGAAACTCTCCCGATCAAGCGAGTCCAGGAATGAAATGGGAAGGACTTAAATCTGTTCTTGGGATTAAACAAGGGGCTATTTTAAAACGTTATAGAACAGCCAACTCTGTTAAGATTGAATCTGAAGTATAAATACTTCATTATGAATTCAAGGTAATAGACTCAAAAAAATCCTCCAGAGTTCAGAAGGGAGGGGGGGAAAAAAGATCCAGCTGAAGTGGATAAAATCATGACTTTACTGATCTACCTAAAATAAATGATTTATTTTTATACTAAACTAAATGTTGGGAGTACTGCTCCCAACTTAAACATATATAATATGAAGGTTGTGTTATGTGTGTTTTATGTGTGTTATGTGTTTTATGTGTTCTATGGTTTTTATATTTTTAAAGCTGCACTGGTTATGTGTGTTTTATGTGTGTTATGTGTTTTATGTGTTCTATGGTTTTTATATTTTTAAAGCTGCACTGGTTATGTGTGTTTTATGTGTGTTATGTGTTTTATGTGTTCTATGGTTTTTATATTTTTAAAGCTGCACTGGGGTGGCATTTAATTTCGTTGTACAAGTAGTACAATGACAATAAAGATTTCTATTCTATTCTATTCTAATATGAGAAAGTATTTAGTGCAAATATAGCTGAAAGTATTATCAGGAGAAATATGGATGAGACTTCATAGGCTGATAGGGGTGGAAGGATTAGAGGTTGTCATCCAAGCTGTGAATGTGCATAAGGTGCTAGAGAATAATTATTGCAATTTCCAAATTTCTAAATAGCTCTTTGAAGTGGATTCCTACCATACAATTTCACATTTAAATGTAGGTTCTAAGTTATTTTAAGTAATTTAGTACTCTTGCAAATAGAGCTAAAATTGTCATGGTGAATGTAGTACCCATAGATCAAGCTGTTTTCATTCCTAAATAAGTATTGCAGATCCAATGGGCAAGTGTGTAATTCGATATTACACAGAAAATATAAAGGTTTTCCCACAGTTATGCTTGCATTAAAGCATTTGATGGAAGGAACTTTAAGGAAATGTGTCCAAAGTTTAATAGTTCAAAGTCTTCCCTTGTGAAAATATTTGTTTTTCATTTGATGATTAAACTGTTTGTGGTCCACAGTAGCTTGAGCAACTCTATATGTCTTGGGCACTGTTACAAAACTCAAGAAGTTTAACTTAATTAATTAATTAATTAATTTGACTTTGGTGCTGCCCAACTCCAGACTGATTCTGGGTGGACAATATCAGATACAAAAACAATAAGATAAATAAAAATACAGTAAGGGAAATAAATAAAAAGGGAAATCCAGACAACTGACACCAAAATGTCTGCAACATGCAATAAACACATCTAACAAGGGGTTCCATCTGGCCTGTTCCAAGGCCTTCCAGAATGCCATCAGGATGAGAGCCATCTGAGTCCCAAGGGGACCTCATTCCAGAGGGCAGGTGCTGTGACAGAGAAAGTGCACTTCCTGGGTCCTGAAAGATAACACTGTTTAATTGAGGGGCCAGAGTGCACCCATTCTCCCAGCTCTTATCAGCTGGGCAAAAACCATGGGAAGTAGGAGGTCCCTCAGATAACTGGGCCCTGCCATATAGGATTTTATAGATGATAACCAGCACCTTGAATTGTACTCTCAAGCATACTGGCAACTAGTGCTGCGTGTGAAGCAGGGGTGGAGGCAGGCCCATCATTACTGGTGGCAATGCATTTTGGACCAGTTGAAACTTCTGAGGAGTTTTCAAGGACAGCCCCATCTACAGCATTGCAGTAGTTGAGCCATGAAGTGATAAGGGCGTGAGTGACTGTTAGGAGGGCTGCTCAATCTAGTAAGGGGCACAGTTGTCAGAATCCAACTTAGTGCAGATCTGAGTGATCTTATCTTCCAAATAGCCAGAATATTCTTCACACTAGCCTTAGAGATGGTCCTGTGGCCTATCCCTATCTAGCACGGATCAGGTCACTCTAAAAAGGGCCACTGACAGTCAGGATGCAGTGAAATATTGACAGTTTGCCATCCTTATCACTATGAGGCAATCCCTGATACAGGCTGTCATGTTTGATCACATTCACTCCAAGTCTTCCTCCAATGGCATACCAGTCATATCTTTTGGCCCTTCATCTCTTCAGTAAACCAAAGAGCTCCTCAGTAAACCAAAATGCACCCTGGGATCAGCATACAGGGAGAGGCCACATAGGAGTTATGTGGCCAAAGGCCCAACCATCCATCCATTCCAGCTGGCTACCAAGGTCTCAGCTGAACCACCCGCCAGATCCTTAGGAGAGATCCCAAACTCCCATAGGGTCCATCTGGTGCCAAGGTGGGCTGATGGAATACAACCTGTCTTCCCATGAGGGAGTGTGGCACAGTGAGCTGGGAAATAACCAGAGAATGATCTGTCCATGGCAAAGGACTGATGTTAATGTCCTCTATACCAGATCACATCACAACTGCCCCAAGACAAACTCAGATCCAATGTGTGGCTACTAGTATGTGTTGGGCCATTGATGACTTGGGAGAGATCCATGGTTGCCATGGAGTTCACAAACTCCTGAGCTGTCCTGGACTCAATGCCACCAGGCAGCAGATTGAAATCCCTGAGCACCAAAAGTCCTTTTGTCCAGCAATGGAGTCCAGTAGCTCAGGCAGGGATGATGCTGGGTAGCAAGGAGGGCAGACCTGGAAATAGCTCTATTGCCTCTATTTCAATGAGATTATGAATTGTTGACATTTTAAGATGACACTTGGCTGGACCTCTGGCATGAAGGAAGAGGATGAACCCATCCATGGGAGTGCACCTCAGTACCAGAACATACCACTTGCATACTTAATGCCCAGAAGTCTGATACGGACTTTATCCATACCTAGTCAAATGCAAATATAAAAATGGCCCTCTATCCTGTCAGAATGGA